GTTCCAATTTTAAATCATCTCTTTGTGAATGCATATGACTGAACACTTTCAGAATCAGCCAAATTACTTCTTGAATGCTTTGCTGCTTAGAAACTTCTTCTGCTAGACACCTTAAATCATCTATCTCAAGTTCAAAATTCCACCAGATTTGTAGGACAGGGGCAAAATGTCACCAGTCTCTTTGCTAAAATATAGCAAGAGTGACTTTTGCCTCAGTTCCCAATATGTTCTTCGCTTCCATCTGAGACCACCTTAACCTAGACTTCATTGTTCATATCACTATTGGCATTTTAGTCAAACCATTTAACAAGTCTCTAGGAAGCTCCAAAATTTCCTACATCTTTCTGTCTTTTTCTGAGCCCTTCAAATTGTTCCAATCTCTCTCTGTTACTCAGTTCCAAAGTCACTTCCATACTTTCAGGTTATCTTTATAGCAGTGCCCCACTCTCAGTATCAATTTCCTATATTAGTCCATTTTCACACTTTATAAAGATATTATTTGAGATTAGGTAATTTATAAAGAAAGGAGGTTTTATTGACTCACAATTCAAAATGGCTGGGGAAGTTTCACAAAACTTACAATCATGGCAGAAGCAAAGGGAAAGTAAGGCATGTCTTACATGGCAGCAGAAGAGAGAGAAAGAGAGAAGAGTAAATTGCCACTTTTAAACCATCAGATCACTATCATGGTTACAGCATGATCCAATCATTTCCCACCAGGTCCCTTCCTCAACTCATGAGGATTACAATTTGAGATGAGACTCGAGTGCACATAAAGCTAAACCATATCGTACAGTACTACTAGAGCTAGTACTCAACAATTGTTTTGATGTATTAGTTAATATTAAATCATTTATGATAACACTTTACACTGTATATTATATCTAAGCATTTTCCTTCACCTAACAATCAAATAGTATGAAACTATTAATTTTAGAAATCTCTAGAATTTTTCACATTAATAGAAAAGCTCTTGATTATTTAACAATCACTTATTTAGAATATAAGCTTATTGAAGATACAGTCATTACTTTATATTTTTCATGATGTCCCACTTTATCTATCACTAGATTTTTACTCAGTATCTGCTCAATAGAAAATAATTATGATTTCATTGCATAATTAGTTTGTTTTCTTAATTTAGTGACAACTAGAAAATTAAGATCATCCCTTACAACATCTTTTTTTTTATATTTCCTCAGTTCAAAGACTGTAATGGCTCTATTAAGATATTTTTGTGCTATTTAATAGCTTCCACAATAGATTGTGTTCCTTCCTTTTTAATACCATCTAACATCATTTTTCAACATTCTCACTGGAATCTTGTCAAACTGCTTTCCTCAATGTCCTAAATATGTCATGCTTGCCAGCTCCACTACTTCATATAGTCAAACAGCTGCAGAATTAACACATCCCTTATACAAGTATATGTCCTCCACACCCTCCAAGGCTCAGGTTAACTTCAAATATTTCTGTGATTATACCAGTCCACACAAATCTAACGCTTCTGCAAACACCTACTACTTGTATAGTTAGTACACCTGTGTCTTTTATATTTGTTTTTTTTTTCTGTAATTGTAGTATTATGTAGGTTATATTCAACCTCCAAATTGAGAGTCACTAGGCTTTATTTTTCCACTGAACCTAGCAATATGCTTAACACATTGTAAATTTTAATAAACTGACTAAGCTATCACTGAAATACTATAGCTAAATTATAATAACTGGTGGAATAATAATTCAAAATGAAACTTCTTATTCTGTTTGTGTATAAAATAAAATGTTAGCCTAGAGCATCAAATAGGAAAAAAAAAGATCCTAAATTTCCCCTCCTTCTAAATTAAGGCAGATATGTCCTCCAGCAGAATAGGAAAGTTTCTCATGTGACATTTACCTCATAATCTAATCCAACCTATGTAAGCCAAAAATTAGATATTTGGGAAAAAAATAAGTAAGGGTGACTGGATTTTTGTTTTTATGGGGAATACTGTAGAATGTTTCCACCTTTCCTCATGGAGGAAGGAAAAATGGTCCTTTCAAAGGCTAGTTGCTGAGAAATTGAAGGAATGCAGAAGACATAGAGAGTGTTTTATCTGAAATCTCGTTGTCCCAGCCTGGTGTGGCCACAAAAATAGGGCATGATAATAGAGTGCTTGCAAGAGCTTGCTATTTGAATTCTGGAATTCAGGGATAAAGTTATGGATGCATAATGATGTTTAAGCTAATGACAGACGGCATATTATGATAATGGTCATATAACATTCTAATGGAGCATATATGAAACACTAATATATAGCACTTGATTTTGGCAGTGAAGATCAAGGAGTGGAAATTACTGCTAGTAATGGTGCTAGGACATTTGATTTTCCATATGAAAAAGTGTATATATAAACACATATATCATCTACGTATGTTTATGTACACTCTATGATGTTCGCACAAGGGAATTGCTCAACTACGCATTTCTCACAATGTATTGTAATCATTAACGGGGCATGACTGTATATACAAACATAAAAACTGGTGCACTGTTTTTGCCTGGAGAATTCTAAAGTTTGGAAACAATACAGAACTGCTACCAATGTCCAGTTGAGAAGAAAGGACAATGGAGAAAGCATGCGCTGTTCCTTTTTAGTATGACCAGATGAACACAGCAGACATTAGCCAGGCTTGGGCCCTAAAGAGATGAGAGGAGTCAGGCTGAAAAAGAATTTCAGGAGGACAGATGGAGAACATAGATTGCACTCATGTCAGGGACTTGCAGTGCGGAAGATCTCATGGGGAATTCTGAAGAACCATTACCTGATCCTCATGAGAGAGATACATTTAACTGAATACTACAAAAACAAAAAAACAAAAAAAAAACAAAAAAACAAAAAAACACTGGAAGCCAGCCATGGATAGCAAAGATAAAGCTTCACAAGAGGAGAACCCAAGAAAATACTATTTTTGGTAAGTAGTTTTCACTTAAATCTTTTTTGATAATTTTAATACATCTACATGTTTGCTTGGTGCAAAGTAATTTTTCACACAACATGAAAGTAATTACAGTAAACATTTTATTTTCACATTAGAAAGGGTTGATGTTAAGTCTAATATGCAAAAAGTTAAAAGGAGATTCTATAAGTATTTGAAATTAGAATAATGGCTCTGATTATTTCACTTTTACATATTTGTGCTTTTATTCTTAAGAGGCAAAGCACTAAATTCAAAAGGAAGAAAAAAAACTGTTACCAACTTAATATATTGCATTGAAATTTACAATTTTAAGCTAAATATAGTAATCCCAAAGTAATAATATAAAGTTATTTTATAATAATATATATTAAAACATAAATAGTTCATTGTCTCCAAACCGAATCATAAAGTGATCTTTAATCTAATCTAATAGCTTGCTTGCTTGCTTTCTACTCAAATATAAATTGCCTATGGGGTTTTATTAAATTTGGTTAATTTCAGAGAGTTGTCCTTGACATTTATATAAGTTGTGACAGACTCTCGCCAAGATTTTACCGAGGATGGCACAAAGTAAGTTCAAAAAAGAAAATGAACAGAAGCAATCCATTTCCTTTATCATTATGCATTTACTCATAAGAAAACCAATCTTCAGGAAGTGAATCATGCACCTTAAAAATGAGTAGTGAATCCCAATAGCTATATTCTTAACTCTTCTAAAATATCTTTTTGCCTTGATAATTTTACTTTATTTGCTGAAACCAAACTGTATAGGCACAAGAAAACTCAAGTATAACATATTCTTTTGGCTGCCATTATTTCCAGACTGATTAAATCTAGAGTTGACTACATCAGGGTGAGCTTCTTTATTACTACTTTTAAGTAATCAATTGATTTCTTGATGTCTGCTCTTCTTCTACAATGCATATAAGAGTTCACTTTTTGTCACATTATCCCACTAAAGGGGTGATACATGTTTCAGAGACGTTTTTCCATAGCAGGATGCATTGTCTTCTGGCTGTTTTACAAGTCTTACGCCACACATTAAAAACAAAGATAGCACTATTGCTTCCGAAATACTCTAAAGTGGTCCTGGCTGCATTATATGCCAGAAAGTCAGCCAAATACTGTGCTGATGTTCCTATCATGGTCTGTCATCACCTTGTTTAATATTAGATCAAAAGCTGCTGAAGTAGCTAAATTAGATTAGCTGTTTTGCCTTCTGCCACCATAATTACCATTTGGCTCCAAACACAGTTTTGTGGAGTATAGTGATTTAAAAATCTCTCTCTCTCTCTCTCATCTTGCATTACAGCTTATAACTGAAGATTATATACATTATTATAGGTAATTGGTATCTTCCTATGTGGTATTCACTGAGGCTTATACATGAGATTTTCTGGAGAAATAATATACCTCCTGGAGCCAAGATTCCCTCTAGGAATATAGGGAATTTTATAACCCTCATGGCAAAGACCATGTTATATATTATAACTAATTATATAATTATATATATTAGTTTATCAGGAGTAAGCATCTATGCATTAGTGCAAGCTGAAAAGAAGTTTTTGGCTGACTTTTTGAAAGGATTAAAAAATTCCCAAATGGTTTGCATGCTTTTTTTTTTTTTTTTTTTTTGGAGAAGAAGCTTATCTTTTCTTGGGTGAAGGAAACAGACAGCATACAAGGATGGTTACACAAGACTAAAGGAGGAAGAGTAAAACGGTCACATTAATTTAATTTTGAATGCAGCCTTTTAGAAAAGTTAGAGAGTGGAAAGGCCTGTAACAAGCCGCAAGAAGAACAATTTTAGAATAACTATTCTCAAGCACACAAATTCTAGACTGGGATCCTGGGGATGTGATTACATTAGATATTGTTAGAGAAGATGGGTAGTACAACACTCTTACCTTTCAGGTCTGAAGTTTATAACAGGCTAGAACCTCCAGACACCAGACATAACTATAGAGCAGAATGGGTAAGTGCCTTGACTTTTGACTTTTCTGAATCAGTGCTTTGGTACTGCCTCAGATTACACTACTTACTCTTGTCTGTTTTGCTCTCCTGGGTTACCAAAAAGATGAAATCTTTCAAGTTCTTGAGAGTATGGTCTGACGTAGGGAAGAACAGGAAGCCGTATCTTATTCACTGCTGCATCCTAGTTCCTAGCACGTGGAAGATATTCAGAAATAACCTGCAGAATACAATAAACCATTTCCAGTTCTAATCTCAAGTTTATGAACAACTCCTGTCAGACTCAGTTTCCCTATCATGGAAGCTGAACATAATACAGGCACATATTTTTTAGTCATTTAAATAGCTAAAAGTCATAATGCATACTTTCATTTCCAATAGTAATATTTATTTTCCTGAAGGATCCTCTGTGCCAAACGGTTTCTTAAATTCTTTGAAGTTTAATACATGTTTAGATTTTTTTCTCAATAAACTTATCAGAAGAAGAAAAGATTTGTAAGAACCTCTAATGAAAGATCAAGACTCTCATTTTGTAACTTAAAGTTGAATGATCCTATAATACCTGGGTATTTATTATTTATTAAATTACTACATCTCCATCATAATGCTTTTTTAATCTTTTCTATACAAAAGGAGTCAAGTGCAGTATCAGGATCATTGAACATTGACTTTTTAACTATTCATAGATCCCTCCCAATGATGATTATGGCTATCAATGTAGGATATCATGTATCCTTGGAGGAAAACTTTGAAATATGATGAAACTATGGTTAGATTAAGGAATTAAGTTATGCCAATCAGTCTTGGGGGGATGAGCTATATAAGGAAATGACTCTTCATAGTAATAGAGCTAATATATGTATATGAAATTAAAGATCACAGTTCATTCCTCAAAATCCATCTCAAGTCGCCTACCTTTGGATTTGGTTCAGGGTAGAAGACAAGAAGCCGGGCTTTTTTCATTTGTAGTATACCAACATCTAAGCTTTCATTGCTTGCTCTTCAAAGGTACCCCATTTGTCCCAAATTTGAAACAATTATTTTCTTACCTATATTTGGATGAGGGAAAAGAGAAGGGTACAATGATTTAAATTAGCTCATCCTCATCCTTCAAATATAAACATGGTCTATGTCATGATTCTCCTCTTTGTTTTTCAAGAATCTAGGCTTTCTAAACTCAAATTTAGTGTGAGAAAATTGCAATTTTTTTCTGCTTTCTGAAAATAAATCTCTTTATTAATGGAAGAAATGTCAAATAGCTTAGTTACTTCATGAAGGTCAACTTAAGAAACCTTAAAAATATTAATATTTTGAGAATATTACCTAGCTATTCGAAACCCGAGACTGAGAAATAGCCTGAGGAAGTTTCAGCCTCAAGAAATGCTTACAAAATTGAATCAAGATATTTATAATAAATATTTTAGAAAACAATCTATATTATAAGTCCTTTCCTGGTTGATATTACAATATATTGATGTGCTCTCTCTTCTAAATTATTACATAAGAGTGAATATAAAGGGTCGTATAATAAGTAAAGATTTTGTTCACCAAATAATGAAGTTAGTAAGGAACTCATAAATTACTAAGCATAAATTACTGCTGCTTAAAGCTACTGTTGCCTAATATTTTTCCTTTAAGAAAGATTTAATTCTACTTATATGCATACGTACTTCATGTACAAGAACTTGGAATGTTCTTTCCCCAATATTTTGTATATTTTGACTGTCATTCATTTACAGTATTCCCTTTTGTAAGAGAAACAAATCACAGATAAACAAAGATAAAAATATAAAGTGTTTTCTGATTTAACTTTTCCAAGATAGAAGCTACATCAGAAAGTATATATATTTTTCTGAAACTTTCACTGGGCTTTAAAGTTATTTTCAAAATCTACAAAGTATCTATATGAAAAATGCTGTATGTGAGCTTAAGTAAATTTATAATTTCACCTTAAAACTATTCTCTCAGTGTACTAAATATAATTCCATAGAAACAATTTTGGTAACTATCTACCATCAATATAACTGACAAATGTTCCAATTTTTATTTTGTTTGTGAGAATTTGGCAACTTCATTTAGTGTTTCGTATATTTTCTTTTATTTTTGCTTGTATTTATTAACTTTAAAATTAAGAATTTAAATTTTTTAATTGAACAAGTTAAAAAAATAAAATATATAAAAGTGTAAATATATTTAGTAAAATATAAAGGGTAAAAAAGATTAACATAAAATGCACCAGTCTCTCACCCAATGCTATTTCCAGGGTCAACTCTTAGTAGTTTCCACTGTGAGTTTTTGCATAAGTCTAAACAAATATGTGTAATGCCCCTGATTCTTGATGTATCAATTCAGTCCTTGTTTTCTGATTTTAAATAGATAAGGATTTGGTTCCCATATTATTTTCCCTTTCTCCTCACATTCCCACTTGTGATTGTTACACTATTCTAAAAATCCATCTCAAGTCCCTTTACCTTTGAATTTGATTGGGGTAAGATATAAGAAGCAGAACTTTTTCATTTGTGATATACCAGTGTCTATGATTTCATTGCTTGTTCTTCAAAGGTACCTCATTCATCCCAAATTTCAAACCTTGTAAGAATTGCCTTTAGAATTAGTATTCTATTTAAATTTATTTTTGTTTTTTCTATTATGGACCACTTCTTTTGGCTAATTATTCTACAAAAATATTACTGTTCTGTATTTTCTTTTGTCTCCTTCATTACAGTTCCCAATAGCAGTACTTTAATATGGCTGAATCAATAACAATAACTTTGTTATTAAGCATAATTATCTTTAATTACTTTCCAAAATGATAATTTAAGTGTATTACTTACCAAAAACTATTGTTTTTGCTATGGAAATACTCGATTATGCAAAGAATACTAGTCCCTTCAATATGTATCAAATGTAATGACCATTTGAGCACTCAAGATGAAATATACTAAAAGTCAAGATTAAGCATTTTCTCTTTTATTATGGTCTAATAATTCTTCAAAAATTTCATCACCTTTTGGTTTTGTAAATTTAACCCAAACATTGAGTTGTTATTGTAATTACTACACTTGGTATTTCCTGAATTTCTAATTGGTTTTTCTTAAAATATGGCTGGAAATTTTCAAATACTTTCTTTGGTTTTATGTTTTCATTTCTATTATGGTGTCTTTAATCAAGTTTTTCACATTCTTAGTGTGCACCCATTTCTTTTTATTTATCACTCATAGATTTATTCTTTCATGTGTAATTGTGGATTACAAGGCTATCTTTAACAGAAATTGTATTTGAAATAATCCTGCGTAGTCTGAATAGAGCACCTGTTTGTCCAAGAAAGGTTAGATTGACTTCTGTAGGCTCCTGGGAGTTAATCACTGGAATGCTGAATTTTCAATTTCATGATCATTGTGCTTCAGAGTATATTCAAGGGGGCATATTCAAATTTCATCTTTTTAAAAAACATCCTTAGCACAGACTAATAATTATGAATTGTTTATTGAGGTCATTTTTAATCAATCTTTTTCTTATAAGGTGTAGGTTTAGAAGCCTTGTTTTATTAGAACAACCTCCTTTTTCTACTTTCCAGTTCATGCAAGATCTAATTAGTTGTGTTATATTTGTGTGTCGAAAGTTAAACCCCTGATTTTTCTAAGCTAACAACTTCCTCTCAATCTGGGTCAAATCAAGGTCATGTGTTTTTATTGTTTATTTCTTAAATCTGTAATTCTTTTGAGATATTATTTAAAAATCTGTTGCTTCTATTTTATTTTAGCAGTTGTGGATTTTTTTTTTCTAGCAGCAGGCTTTTTAGTTTAGCCAGTCCACACATTTCCGGAAACTGATAGCTCTCATTTTATGGGTGTATCTACTTTGACAGTCCTTAGCTCTGTATCACCAACATGATTCACTTAACCTACCAGTGTGCAAAACCTAGTAGAATAGCTGAAAAAATTCTCTGGATGGTTCAGAAAACTGAAATTCATATGTTGCTTATTTCCAATCAACTTCCCCATATATCTAGTACTTAAGATTTGCTATCTTTCTTAGATTTTCAAATTCTCTCACATACTAATTCAGGCAGTGATGTCCATCTTAAGATATTTTGAGCAAAAGTCCAATCCATTGTAAAACACACAGCAAGCAATTCAGTTGCTCAAAGAACACTGAATATTGTTTTTCTACTCACATAATAGTCTGTGTTGATTACAAGAACTGTTCTACTTCACAAGTTCTTTCATGGATTCAGGAGACTAACGTCATGTAAAAATGCCTACAATATTGTCATTTCACTTTCTGCCTTATAACTGAGCCTACCCTCTTGTAATTGCTTTGTCAGAGAATAAGCATATTTCTAAGGGATATGATGAATTATTTTTTACAAAGATGATACTTTCAATTTTCATCAATACTTAGCCAATATTAGGCATTAATATTTTTCCTACTTTTTAAGTTTTTAGATGATGTGACATATGATTTTTGTTTTAATTCTCATTTCTTTGAGAGCAAATGTAGTGTTTTCGAATATACCTACAAATTGATTGATATAACCTTCTTTAAGAGGTGGAGGATGGTTTTCCCTTTCTTATGTATGCACTAACTGAATAACTCAAAAGAGTCAAACATGGTGGAAATGACTGCATCAGGTATCCTAGACCAGGCATAGAGGCCGTTATGAGTCTCCTTGCTCTCACTCATGGATCGTTGGCTCTGAGAAAAGCCAGCTACCATCTCCTGAGGACACTCAATCAGTCCTATGGAGAGACCCACGCAGTGAAGAAGAGGCCTCTTGCCAACAACCAGCTAGGAATTGAGACCTCCTGCCTAAAGCTATAGAGTGCTATGAGTTGAATTGTGTCACCCCAAAATTCATGTGTTGATGTTCTAACCTCCAGTACCTCAGAATGTGACCCTATTTGGAAAGAGAGTCACTGGAGATGTAACTACATAAGGTCATTAGGGTGAAATCTAATTCAATATGACTGATGTTTTCATAAAGAGAGGGACATTTAAATACAGAGACAGACCATATACAGGGAAGACAAGGTGTGGAGACACAAAGAGAAGACACTGTCTGCAAGACAAAGAGAGAGGCCTGGAACACATCCTTCCCTCACAGCCCTCAGAAGAAATCAACCCTGCTGACATTTTGATTTTAGACTTCCAGCCTGTAGAACTATGAGAGAATAAATGTTTGTTGTTCTATGCCACTTAGTTTGCAGTATTTTGTTATAACAGCCCTAAGAAACTAAAATACATTAAGTGAGGCATTTTGAGAGCAGACAAGATGATTACTACAACCTCATTAAAAAACCTGAGTCATTCAGCTAAATTCTTGATCCACAGAAAATATGAGATAATAAATATTTATTGCTTTAAGTCAGTAAGTTTTGGGATAATTTTTTATGGAGCAGTAGATAACTAATAAAATTGGTTAAATTGAATAATCTCAATAATGTATTTACATGTGTCATATCTATTTTTAATTATATAATTGCACATTTTTATTGTAATCTTTATTCCATTCTTGATAAGTAAACACTTTCTATACAAAACTTTTTAAGGACTGCTGTAATTTTTCTTCTACTACTAAGTTGCCATTTGTAAAAATTGTACTGTAAGTTCTGAAATACATGTGCAGAATGGGCAGGTTTGTTAAATATGTATACATGTGCCATGGTGATTTGCTGCACCCATCAATCAATCATCTAGGTTTTAAGCCCCACAAGCATACATTAGGTATTTGTCCTAATGCTATCCCTTCCCTTGCCCCTCACCCCCTGACAGGCCCCAATGTGTGATGTTCCCCTCCCTGTATCCATGTGTTCCCACTGTTCAACTCCCACTTATGAGTGAGAACATGTGGTGTTTGGTTTTCTGTCCTTGCAATAGTTTGCTGAGAATGATGGTTTCCAGCTTCATCCATGTCCCTGTAAAGGACATTAACTCATTCTTTTTTATGGCTGCATAGTATTCCATGGTGCATATGTGCCACATTTTCTTTATCCATTCTATCATTAATGGGCATTTGGGTTGGTTCCCAATCTTTGCTATTGTAAAT